GTTAAAAGTGTCAGATCAGCATGTGACCTCTGAGGTCAGGTCACGTGCACAAGTGCAGGGTGTTCATTAGCGAATGACTTAAAGTAAGCCCCCGCTGGAGCCCCAAATGATCGTCGGCCATCGTGCAGACGAAGCCTTCGACGACTCACGGCAGCGTTCAGTTCATCAAGGGTCTTGGACTCTTGAGTTCGCTCCGCAATTTGAGTTGCTTGAGGTTAAGCGGTGAAGTCCAAGCAGGAAAAATCCAGACTGCAGAGTGACCAGGGGTGCTAGGATCTTGTACAGTTGCTCGAAGGTGAAGAGAGTCTAGCAATCCTTCAGTAAACTGTCCAGTATTCACGTTCGCAATGGCTTAAGAAACCTGGGAAGGCATTTTTAAATATATTGACTTGTGATGTCAATTACAGAAAGTCGTGATACCGATGCCAAACCAAATACCATCAACAGGAACCGTGGGAAAATACCGAAACCGAACTGACTTGGGAATATCAGGGAAATGCCAACTTTTTACCAAAGTCACAGTCTCTTTTACAGTAGCGAGGATTCACAATACCAACAAAATACCAAATGTGTTAGCCTCGAAACGCCAAATACCAAGTTGGTATCGGTTTGGTATCGTATGCCAAAAAGTTGGTATTTGATTGACATCTCTAATATGGACAATCCTCCACAAGAAGAAACTGGAAACTGGAAACTGTTTCTTTCTGGAAGAAAGAAACTGGAAAGAAGAAACTGGAAACATTATCGTCCGATCCTAATGACCGTCATCTCCCCTGACAGCATGGTGTCGAGGCTGGAAGCGTGAACCTTTTGGCTCACGGCTCAGTGAAGCGGAAGAATGGTTCGAAAGGGTGATATTGAGTGACGAAAAGTGGCTCGCGCTACAGCAAACACCCGCAAGAATAATACAGGCTCCTTCGCCGAAGAATCCACAATAGTTGATTCCATACAAGGATGTGCACGGAGCGAAGGTCTTGGCCGAGGTCTGCCGCACGGAGAAGCAAGTTTTCTTCGAGCGACACAACTGATTTCTGTTTGTGCTATGTAAAATGTCTAAGATTTACCATTCCAACGGTGAGCTGTTTATGCAATATGTCTTACACCTCTGGCAGGGCTGACTTAATGTCATCTTTTATTGATGACCCTGTAATTTAGAGGATATGTCTTACGTGGATGTTTAAATGCGGTTATCCCGCACCGTAGACAGTGTTTACAATTGCTTCACGTGCAAAGAGAGAAAATTATCAGATGTCGTGTAACTGATTTTTTAAACGTCTACATAGACAATTAACAAACTGTTAAACGTCTAGTAGACATTTCGTCTAGTCTGAAATATGTCTATTTTTATATAAAATGTATTCTTTATCATTAAGCGCCCGAAAGATATCGGCGGTACGGGATAACATTATTTAACCGCTCGTAGGTAGAAAAATATTTTAAACGTCTCACCTAACCGCTCGACGTTTAAATATTTGTTCTACCTACTCGCGGTTTAATATATAACCACCTTGTATTTCAGTTGGAACGGTAGTATTTCAGTTGGAACGGTAGTTAATATATATTAAACCGCGAGTAGGTAGAACAAATTTTTTAAACGTCGAGTCGATAGGCGAGACGTTTAAAATATTTGTCTACCTACGAGTGGTTTAATAATTGGACGCGTGTATATCACACCACGGTGAGATTTACATAATGCATCGCACTGTAGTGTAAACCTCACCCGGGTGTGATTTACACAATACACTACTCCTGTGTATATCACACCACGCGGAGTGTGATTTACACAGTGGGCCGGCAATGCGTAAATCACACCGGGGTGTGATATACACAATGTGCTCCTAGTGTGTAAATCACACCCGGGTGTCAAACCACGCAGCACCTGGGTGCTGAAGACACTTAACCAAACCTTAGACCTGACCTAACCTAACCTAACCTAACCTAACCTAACTTAACCTTACCTAACCTAACCTAACCTAACCTAACCTAACCTAACCTAACCTAACCTAACCTAACCTAACCTAACCTAACCTAACCTAACCTAACCTAACCTAACCTAACCTAACCTGACCTACTGATTTTTGCCTACCCGTGGATGAGGAAGAAGTTACTCGCATGAAGAGATTGCAAGCAATGGTAAGTCAAATATTTTTAGGTTAAGTGGTTGTGCATCAGGCTTCAGGCCTTCGGCCTGAAGCCAGATACACAACCACTTAACCTAAAAATATTTGACTTACCATTGCCTGTAATCTCTCCTAAGGCATTGCCTTCGGCACTGCACCGCTTCGCCACGAGCATTCAGACGTCGCTTTCCATATTGTATTGGTGCTTTTTAACTTGTTGGTCGGCAGCGAACCCACCGCTACCAAGGAAAAGCGAAAATGCGGGAAAAAGCACCGGCGCCGACGGGACTCGAACCCGCAACCTCCGTATCATGGTGCAAGCACCTTCACCACTAGGCCAGGCGGTCAGCTGATTCGATCGGCCATCTCTATGGTACCTAATGTGGTGAAGATGGTGTGAAATACACACTGGTGTGGCATCTCGTGTAAATCACACTCTCGGAGTGTGATTTACACAGTCGGTCAAAAGTGTGTATATCACACCGGGGTGGGTGTGATTTACACAAATGGCCGGTATTGTGTAAATCTCACCGTGGTGTGATATACACGGTCCCTTAATAATTTTATCCCGTACCGCCGGCATCTTTCGGTCACTTAAGTTAAAAAATACATTTTATGTAAAAATACGGCATATTTCAGACTAGACAAACTACTAGACGTTTAACAAATCCTATATATGGCCTTGAACAAATCAGGTAAACGGCATCTGACAATTTCTCTCTTTGCACGTGAAGCAATTGTAAACACTGTCTACGGTGCGGAATAATGACAAAGAAACTCCAATATCTATGTAACGTCGTTTATGACGTTGCACATGGTTCACAACGCAAAGGTTGAGCATCGATCTTGCAAGGAGTGAAGCGACACGAGCACGACTCCATGTGCAAACGGTAGTCGTTGATCTGTTTTTGTCATGAACATAAATTTTAATATTTCCCTTGTTGAATTGTGTATTGTATTTGTATTGTATTTCATTTAAAGAGCACTCCACAGCAGCAGTGTTTTTTCTGGCTCCGCGTCACAATGTCACATGCATGGTTGGTACGAAAGGTAAGATAATTCACTCATACATAAAATTACAGGTGCAACGGCACACCGACATGCACGTCACACACATCCATGCTCTCATACACGGCGTCAAATCAGGTAATAGGAGACAGCATTCGTCGTTTTAAAGCGCGTTTGAAGCCCTGTCCACTGAGCGAAACCAGTTCGGGTGGCAGCTGGTTGTGCAGCGCCGGCGCTCTCGCGCAAAATCGCCTTTTGCCCGCCTCGGTCCTCGACCTCGGCACACTGATCAAACCGTCCTGCCTGGTGGCGCGCTGGCGTACCTCCTCATTACGATGGAGGAAGGCTGCTAGTGTGTAATAAAGTTCGTGATAAAAATGCAGCGTTTCACTTTTCACGTTATATTTGAATGTCCGAGATAATGAGTTCAATCGAGATGACGAGACGAAAAGAACAAGTGAAGATAAGCGACCGGCGAGGGAGCGGCCCTCACTCGGTCCGAGTCGTTGCTGTCTCTCCTACTCAACTGCCGGGCTTCGGCCCGCTCCGGCGCGACATATACCACGCGTCATACATACGTCACACATGTACGTCATATCATAACACCAATCAGAGGCGGGTCAGGAAAGGCGTCACAGGTAAGAACGAGGACCATAAAAGGACATTGTTAGTAAGGGCAGGGGGCTGAGAATGAACTTTGTTACTAGTGAGTGGGGCTCTCCTCTGCGGAACACCCTGTGCGCCAGGCAGAGTGTAGAGTGATCGGCCAGCTGCTGGGCCTCGAGCCAGCCCAGTCTCTCCCGCAGGTCCGCCACGTGGTCAAATTTTCCTCGGCCGAATATCACCTTTGCAGCGAAATTTAGGATCTTCTGTACTCTGACCATGCTCTTTTTAGTACCGTTACCGTAAACTGATATGCAGTAGCGGACCTGCGAGAGAACCAGGGCTGTTACAAGGGAGGTGATGACACCTCGTGGCACCACGTGTCGCACGTGCAACAGACCGATCAAGGTCCCAGTGCAGCGTCGGGTGACGGCACCCACGTGGCTGTCCCATGTCAGGTTCTTGTCAAACGTTACGCCCAGATTTTTGACCTCGTCACAAGGGACGAGGGTTGTGTCACGGAAGGCGACTGTGAAATTTGGAAGATTGCGCAAATTTTGGCGGTTTCCGAAAGCAATGAGTTGAGTTTTGTTCGCGTTGACCTTGAGTGCGTTCGCGCAGAACCATTGTGAAACATGTGATGGTGAGGGAGGTCACGTCATTGACCTAGCTTTACGTGAACTTCTAGAAATTACGAGAATAAAAGTTGCAAGGTCTCGGAAGAATATGAAGTCCTATAAGTTTTATTTATCTGCAGAAGTTGACCTAGCAATGGCGGAGTTGCCAAGCCGCAATATTTTGGGACCGAGTGAAGTCTTTATGACGTCATAGGTCAGTGACTCGACAATAATTGAAAATGTAATTGGTCGTTGGTGTCATCAGAGAATCGGCTTGAATCAAGTCAGGTGTGCTATTTTTCAGCTTTCAGGTTTCCTTGTTGAGAGCAATCGCAAGAAGTCAGGGGTAGGTAACACCCGTCACCCTCATCTATGGAAAGTTATGCTTTTGCGGAGCGACCTTCAAAGCTAGTGCGCCCCATGCACTGTCGTGTTTTCAGCTTGCTGTCGGTTTTCCAATATATGGAAGCCAGTTACAGGCGTCTCTTAGTCTCTCATTGGTCAATCGCACACACCACTTGTTCATCAACGACCAATGAGAAGATGAGAAACGCCAGCAAACTGACAGCATGCTGATTTGGTGATCAAACAGCGCCCTGACCACACTGTTACGGCAGGCAAAAGATTCGTTTGATAGGAATTATCTATTGTCGCCTCTTTGATGTACATAATAACTGAAAAATACACATAAATAACAATCAGTCCATAAAAACGATAATTGATACAAATATGACGCTCATTCATATAAAGCATGGCGTCATCTTCTTTTCGATGACGCCATGGTGTGGGACGTACCACACACGTCCATTGCTGGCCTCGATTTCTTCATCAGGGACGGGCTCGGCGTACCCTTTGGCCAGCATCTCTTCCATAGCTCTGACGTACAGGTCCTTGTAGTCGGAATCCTTCTTGAACTTCCTGCTTAAGGACTGCAGACGGCCCTGAGCTTGTTCAATGTTGTTCGGCATTTTGGTGTTTGGCTCACGCAGCGGAAGTGGAGCCTCAAAACGACCATCTGCGAGCTGGTGCATACCGTCTTCCATTATCCTCAGGAACTGCTTGTCGTCTTGAGACATCACTTTGCCCTTGTCTCTCTGTGGGTCAAAGTCAGAGTCAAACATTCTAGCGACTTGCTCTGGATGTAGTTCTCTGGCTCTCACTCTGAACGCGTAGTGTTGAATCCTCTTTGGGCCTGCTTCTGTCGAGATAAAGAGGCACGCAGAGTCTTCTTGTCCGTCAGTTTCCTCGGCCTCTCCCATGTAGCCAACCACACTCCAGCCTAGGCTCGTACGAATCGCCCACGGCTCGTCGTCTCCACCTGTGACCACTTCAAGGGGTTTCAGGGCCTTCGAGCAGTTGACACCAATGAGGATACCGATCTCAGCCTCGGGACGATACTCTGGCAGCTCTCGGGAGACTTCACGTAGATGTGTCCACTCGGCTGTAGTCTCACGTCGTGGAATGAGCTGACGTTCGGCTGGGATGTCTTCCTTTGAGTATGTGGGAGGCAACTCTATCTTCTGGCTTCCAGAGAGATCTCGGATGGTGAAGCCCCTGATGACTTGACTTTTGGAGACAGTCTTCCCGGTCATCGTGTTCACTTCCAGAGCCACTTCTTCGCCATCCACACCCATTCTCTGCAACACAGAATCCTTCACGAAACAGGTGTCGGACTGTGGGTCCAACAGCGCGTACACGATCTCTTTGCTGGTTGGACAGTCTCGATGCTCAAGCTGGACGGGCACCAGCATTGAGTGTGTGCACTTCAGCCTCACACTTCTCGTGTCACTGGATGTCACATGGAGCGACGTGGCCGTCGTCTGGGTTCCTGTTGAAGCAGAAGCCGTCCTGCTGTGCTTCAGAAGGCTCTCATCGTGCAGTAGAGTAGGGTGCAGTCTTTTGCACTTCTCGCACTGCTGCTTCCTCCTGCATTCTTTCCACCTGTGGCCTCGTCTCAGGCAGCCTCCACACAGTCCTCGTTGCCGAACGAGCTCCTGCCGCTCCTTCAAGGACATCCTCATGAACGCTGCACACTGATCCATGGAGTGATCGTCCTTACAGATGACGCAGTGTTGCTGCTGAAGCTGCAGGTTTTCCTGTCTCTGATTCGCTGGCACAGATGTAAGAAGCACATGTGTGTTTCTTTCTTTCTTTGTCGGTGGTCTCTTCCTGTCTTCTTCTCGATTCCGTGACGTCACAGGACCAGAAGAGACTCTTGCCTCCTTGCTCATGAAAGAGACGAACTGTGAGAAGGGAGGATACTGAGGCATGGCACCATCTTCAGGTTCGTGTATCCACCTGTCCACCACCCGTCTCCAAGTGTCACTCATGTACCTTGGCAGTTTTCTGATGACCATATCAATCTCATGCATGCCTTCAAACATCTTCAGCTCTTGCATGGAGTTTGAAACCATCAAGCACTGTTCAAGAAAGTCAGCCAGTTCAGTGAGTGACTTACTGTCTCCTACCTTCACCTCTGGCCACTTGTACAACCTCTTCTTGAACTCATTGGCAGTGATGAAGGCATTGCCATATCGGTCTGTCAGTCGTTTCTTGGCCTGCATGTATGCGTCCTCTGAGCTCAGCTGTAGGAAACCGAGAATGGAGTTCCGAGCATCTCCAGCAGTGTAGTGCCCCAAGTAGTGGAGTCGTTCACTTGGTGATGAGCATCTGGCCTCAATGTAGGCTTCAAAAGCCTTCAGCCACATGTGGAATGTCGTGTGGTCGCCTCTGAAGACGCTTGGCTCAATCTGAGGCAGACGATCTCTCTGAGCCTGCTGAGAAAGAAGCTCAGTCAACACAGACACAGTCACTGGTCCAGTTGCTGGCTCAGGACCTGGGGATGGAGACGGTTCAACTGCGGTCAGCTGCGGGTTGGCACAGTTTGTCATGTCTGTGTTTGCTTCATGACAATCAGTAGTACATTCTCCCGTACTGACCTGGTTCACCTTCCTTGTCTGCAGGCTACCATCTCCAGCTTCTTGTGGTGTCAGAAATGATGCGTCAATCTCCCTTTCCATATTCTCAATCACTTCTGTCTTTGCTTGCTGAATCTTCAGTTCAGTGTTCAGTTTGTGTCGTTCTTCTTTCCACTTCAGTTCTTGCATTTGGGTTTCCATCATTTTCATTTCTCTTTCCAGCTGGCACTTCTCCTCAAGAGCAGCTGCTCTTGTCTTGAGCTCCACTGTGATTTGGCTTTCTTTTACTTTCAACATGTACAGCTGGGCTCTCATTGACATTCCTGATCTTGATGACCCGCTCTTCGCAGATGAACATTCATCTTGATCCTTTGTCTTCTTTTGGTTGACATCCTCTCCTTGGGCTGGTGTCAGAGATTCAATTGTTGCTCTCATGACCTCCAACTCCATCAGTTTCTGCTCATACGTTGTCCTGTGCTCATCATAATCTCCTCCCAGAAGAGTACACAGGTCACCATCTGTCTGTTTCAGTCTAATGTAAGTGTGCTGCCATCTGGAGATCTTTGCAACTGTTTGCTGCATCCTGTCTTCATCATCTTCAGATGTCAGATCATCCAGAAGCATCTTTCCGTCTTTCTCCAGCTTGATCAGCATTTGTCTGAACATTTTCAGCTTCAACTCCTTTTGGTACTGGTAACCCTTCTCAGTCATTTTCAGTGCCTGGGCGGGCCTTGTGACAACACGCTCTTGATCATCAGTCGGATCCATGGTGTGCAGGTAATTGGAATGACGAGGTAGGTAGGATTCAACAAAATTCTGTTCTAAATCTACACTAGGTACCAGTTCATGTTAGTCATGTGCCACAGTTAGTGCCAACTACAACATAATAAAACAGGATCAATCATGGGTAGGTACACTGTTAGTTAAAAACACACCTCAAAATTCAAGCAAATAACTACACTGGAGGGAAACCCTGGTACGGCTTTGTCACATTGGGCCAGAGAGGAATTCATTGTGCCATAACTGGAGAGATTATTACTGTTACGGCAGGCAAAAGATTCGTTTGATAGGAATTATCTATTGTCGCCTCTTTGATGTACATAATAACTGAAAAATACACATAAATAACAATCAGTCCATAAAAACGATAATTGATACAAATATGACGCTCATTCATATAAAGCATGGATTATCACAGCCAAAATTATGAGAAATAAAGCAAATAAATGGTTAAATCAGTAACGTAACAAGTCAGTAACATATTGGCAGATCATTTGGATAATAACATAATCATAAATATCATCTATTCTGTCACCTACTCTCTCCTTCCTTTGGCATAGCCCACGTGTCAGATATCTCAGCGCCGTATCACTGGCCACGACGCGCAGTGCGCCACGCAAACAAATCAAGGGCCGCGTTCGCCGCGCTATTCCTGGGGAAACCCGCAAGCAAATTGTAATGCGGGAACATGGCTCCCCCAAATTTGAACAAAATTTGCACTTCCTCTAAATCTCGACGCGAGATCACATCGTAACACCCTAACACCCAACACATCGTCACGCTCCTCTGGCGAGTTCAGTTTTGCACGCGCACTCACTGATCGCTCACTGATCATCCCACTCACTGATCAATATAGTCCGTAGCAGATCACTGAGCACTTTGTGCTTCGATTGGTCGACCTGACCAATCCACATCAGGCTTCCTCGACGGGGAATCACGTACAGTCCCTCCGCAGGAGAAGCACAAGGCGGTGCACCGGCCTCTCGTACTCGGAGCCGCCCAGGAGCACGCGAACCTTCCGCACCAGGTGGTCGCCGCTCGGGTGCGTAGCGACGACACGCGCCAACGGCCACTCCGAGCGCGGGCGCTCGTCGTCCACGACCAGAACGATGTCGTCGACCTCGATGTTCTGCACAACCTTCGTCCATTTGCGTCTCTCTTGTGCAGCGTAGACGATCTCCCTTCTCCAGCGGGCCCAGAAGTCGTTCGCCAGGTGTTGGATGCGCCTCCACCGCTGGCGGGCGTACAGGTCCGGCGAAGAGAACCTACCAGGAAAGGGAAGAACTATTCTACTTTTCTGTGTAAGGAGGAGGCTGGGGCTGAGAGGTTCGAGTTTGTTAGTGTCAGACATATCAACTACAGAGATGGGACGGCTATTGACTATGTCCTCTACCTCACACATCATGGTCCGAAGCAGCTCGTCGTCCAGCTGCTGTCCGTTGGTGACCAGAAGGCTGGTCAGTGCTGATCTGGCACAGCGGATCATTCTCTCCCATATCCCGCCCATATGACTGGCATGAGGGGGATTGAATGAGAACTCGATCCAATCACACTGGTCCTTCAGCAAAGCTTCTGTGACCTCTGATTTCATCTCCTTCAGTGCAGCTTTCAAAGCGCTCTGTCCACCGACAAAGTTGCTGCCGTTGTCGCAGTATAGTCGCTGTACAGGTCCCCTTCTACAAACAAATCTCCTGTACGCATTGAGAAATGAGTCGGTTGACATAGAGTTGAGCGTCTCCAGATGCACCGCTCTAGAACTCAGGCAGGTGAAGATAAGTCCCCACCGTTTCACCTCACTTCGACGCTCCTTCACAAAGAAGGGGCCGAAACAGTCCACACCACAAAACGTGAAGGGAGCGGACGGCTCCAGCCGTTCGGACGGGAGATCAGCCATCTTTTGTCCACAGGTTGAGCCACGCAGCCTTCTGCAGAGCACGCAGCGCAGAACGTAGCTCGAGACCGCTGATCGTCCGTGTATGACCCAGTAGCCTTGCTGTCTGATCTCACCCAATGTCATTTCTCTTCCAGAGTGGCCTGTCTTCTCATGGCACTGACGAATGATGAGAGTCGTCACATGACTGTTCTTGGGTAGGATCACCGGGTTTGTGACCTCTTGAGGCAGGCTGGCCCGCCTGATCCTACCTCCGACACAGAGGAGTCCATTGTGTCTCATAACCGGGTCCAGTTTTCTCAGTGAGCTGCTCCTCTTCTGTTCTTTCAGCTGACAGCTGGACAAATCATCTTCCGTGTTGTCCTTCGACTTCTCGAGTGTTTCACTTCCATTGTGACACTGCTCTCGGACAAAAACCATCTCGTTCTTGAATGTCTCTTTCTGCAGCGACCTCAAGATGATTACTTCAGCCTCCTTGAGGTCTTGTACTTGCAGTTCATCCTGCGTCCGAGTTCCTTCACTGTTGTCAGCACGACGCTTCTTGCTCGCTTCTTGCAGCTTCCTCATGTACCGCAAGCAGTTTGCCACTGCTTTCTTCGCGGTGAACCACGAGGAAAATCGCTCCAGTCGTTCCAGCAGAGTAGGATACACTGCTGCGGGTGCGCTGCTCTTGGTCATTAGTGAAGCTGCTTTCTTCACCTCTGGGTCTCGCTCATCTACCACTTCTTCGTTGTCCACCAGCGGTAGATCTGTTGAGAGGGAGAGGAATGCTGGTCCATGCCACCAGAGATGATTGTCAACAAGTTCTCGCACACAACTGCCGCGAGAAGTCACATCAGCAGGGTTCTCAGCTGAAGAGATGAAGTGCCACTGATCGGGGGTCGTGTGGTCGTTGATCAGCTGCACACGGTTAGCAACATATACGTGAAACCTTCGAGAACTGTTCCGTATATGTCCCAGTACAACTCGGCTATCGCACCAGTAGTGTTGTTCCAACGCAGGGATGCTCAGTTCGTGTCCCAGGAACTCACCGAGCTCAGCAGCCAGCACTGCCGCCGCGAGCTCCAGGCGAGGGACAGTGATGACTTTCTTCGGCGTCACTCTCGACTTGGCCATCACCAGGTCGCAGGTTACCTCATCGTCTCGGATAGCTCGTAGGTAGCTGCATGCACCATATCCACACATGGAGGCGTCGGAAAAGTGATGCAACTCGTATCTGGTCGTGCTGCTGCTCGGTCGCATGTTGGCTCCATACTGCCTCGGGAGCCTCAGAGCCGAGAGGTTCAGCAGCTCCTTCCTCCAGGTAAGCCATTCCAGGCCCAGCTCCTCGGGAACTGGGTCGTCCCATGTGCAGTCTTGGCCACACAGCTCCTTGATGATCATCTTTCCACGAAGCGTGATCGGCGAGATCAGCCCCAGCGGATCGAAAACAGAGCTGACACCTGAAAGTATGCCTCGCCTGGTCAGTGGTTTTTCAGGGATGTCGATGTTGAACAGGATCGTATCAGAGAACAGATCCCACCTTACTCCTAATGCCTGCTCACAGACCTCATTCTTGTGCTTCAAGAGGTCCACATTCTGCAGCGTCTTGGACCTGGAGTAGATCGGGATGGTTCCCAGAACTGCAGAGTCATTGCTGGCGAACTTTCCAAGCTTAAATCCGCCTTCAGCGCAGAGTTTCGTCGTGTTCTCGATGAGCGAGATGGCTGTACTTGCTCGAGGCGTTGAAGCTAGCCCATCATCGACATAGAAGTCGCGTTTCACGAAGGCGGCTGCTTCCTCTCCGTGTCTCGACGCGTACAGCTCTGCTGTCAGGTTCAGAGCGTGCATGGCGCACGCAGGCGACGAGATGGCTCCGAAGAGATGCGTGGTCATTCTGTACAAGACAGGCTCCTCTTCCACGTCACCTCCCGGCCACCACAAGAATCTCAGTAGGTTTCTGTCCGGCGGTGAAACCACGACTCGGTTGAACATCGCCTCAATGTCACATGTCAGCGCGATCTTCTCCTTTCTGAACCGCGTCAGAATGCCTACCAGGTTGTTGGAGAAGTCAGGTCCCTGCAACAGTTCCCGATTGAGGCATCGTCCACGGTACTCGGTACTGCAGTCGAATACCACTCTGACTTTGTTTTTCTTCTTTTCGATGACGCCATGGTGTGGGACGTACCACACACGTCCATTGCTGGCCTCGATTTCTTCATCAGGGACGGGCTCGGCGTACCCTTTGGCCAGCATCTCTTCCATAGCTCTGACGTACAGGTCCTTGTAGTCGGAATCCTTCTTGAACTTCCTGCTTAAGGACTGCAGACGGCCCTGAGCTTGTTCAATGTTGTTCGGCATTTTGGTGTTTGGCTCACGCAGCGGAAGTGGAGCCTCAAAACGACCATCTGCGAGCTGGTGCATACCGTCTTCCATTATCCTCAGGAACTGCTTGTCGTCTTGAGACATCACTTTGCCCTTGTCTCTCTGTGGGTCAAAGTCAGAGTCAAACATTCTAGCGACTTGCTCTGGATGTAGTTCTCTGGCTCTCACTCTGAACGCGTAGTGTTGAATCCTCTTTGGGCCTGCTTCTGTCGAGATAAAGAGGCACGCAGAGTCTTCTTGTCCGTCAGTTTCCTCGGCCTCTCCCATGTAGCCAACCACACTCCAGCCTAGGCTCGTACGAATCGCCCACGGCTCGTCGTCTCCACCTGTGACCACTTCAAGGGGTTTCAGGGCCTTCGAGCAGTTGACACCAATGAGGATACCGATCTCAGCCTCGGGACGATACTCTGGCAGCTCTCGGGAGACTTCACGTAGATGTGTCCACTCGGCTGTAGTCTCACGTCGTGGAATGAGCTGACGTTCGGCTGGGATGTCTTCCTTTGAGTATGTGGGAGGCAACTCTATCTTCTGGCTTCCAGAGAGATCTCGGATGGTGAAGCCCCTGATGACTTGACTTTTGGAGACAGTCTTCCCGGTCATCGTGTTCACTTCCAGAGCCACTTCTTCGCCATCCACACCCATTCTCTGCAACACAGAATCCTTCACGAAACAGGTGTCGGACTGTGGGTCCAACAGCGCGTACACGATCTCTTTGCTGGTTGGACAGTCTCGATGCTCAAGCTGGACGGGCACCAGCATTGAGTGTGTGCACTTCAGCCTCACACTTCTCGTGTCACTGGATGTCACATGGAGCGACGTGGCCGTCGTCTGGGTTCCTGTTGAAGCAGAAGCCGTCCTGCTGTGCTTCAGAAGGCTCTCATCGTGCAGTAGAGTAGGGTGCAGTCTTTTGCACTTCTCGCACTGCTGCTTCCTCCTGCATTCTTTCCACCTGTGGCCTCGTCTCAGGCAGCCTCCACACAGTCCTCGTTGCCGAACGAGCTCCTGCCGCTCCTTCAAGGACATCCTCATGAACGCTGCACACTGATCCATGGAGTGATCGTCCTTACAGATGACGCAGTGTTGCTGCTGAAGCTGCAGGTTTTCCTGTCTCTGATTCGCTGGCACAGATGTAAGAAGCACATGTGTGTTTCTTTCTTTCTTTGTCGGTGGTCTCTTCCTGTCTTCTTCTCGATTCCGTGACGTCACAGGACCAGAAGAGACTCTTGCCTCCTTGCTCATGAAAGAGACGAACTGTGAGAAGGGAGGATACTGAGGCATGGCACCATCTTCAGGTTCGTGTATCCACCTGTCCACCACCCGTCTCCAAGTGTCACTCATGTACCTTGGCAGTTTTCTGATGACCATATCAATCTCATGCATGCCTTCAAACATCTTCAGCTCTTGCATGGAGTTTGAAACCATCAAGCACTGTTCAAGAAAGTCAGCCAGTTCAGTGAGTGACTTACTGTCTCCTACCTTCACCTCTGGCCACTTGTACAACCTCTTCTTGAACTCATTGGCAGTGATGAAGGCATTGCCATATCGGTCTGTCAGTCGTTTCTTGGCCTGCATGTATGCGTCCTCTGAGCTCAGCTGTAGGAAACCGAGAATGGAGTTCCGAGCATCTCCAGCAGTGTAGTGCCCCAAGTAGTGGAGTCGTTCACTTGGTGATGAGCATCTGGCCTCAATGTAGGCTTCAAAAGCCTTCAGCCACATGTGGAATGTCGTGTGGTCGCCTCTGAAGACGCTTGGCTCAATCTGAGGCAGACGATCTCTCTGAGCCTGCTGAGAAAGAAGCTCAGTCAACACAGACACAGTCACTGGTCCAGTTGCTGGCTCAGGACCTGGGGCTGGAGACGGTTCAACTGCGGTCAGCTGCGGGTTGGCACAGTTTGTCATGTCTGTGTTTGCTTCATGACAATCAGTAGTACATTCTCCCGTACTGACCTGGTTCACCTTCCTTGTCTGCAGGCTACCATCTCCAGCTTCTTGTGGTGTCAGAAATGATGCGTCAATCTCCCTTTCCATATTCTCAATCACTTCTGTCTTTGCTTGCTGAATCTTCAGTTCAGTGTTCAGTTTGTGTCGTTCTTCTTTCCACTTCAGTTCTTGCATTTGGGTTTCCATCATTTTCATTTCTCTTTCCAGCTGGCACTTCTCCTCAAGAGCAGCTGCTCTTGTCTTGAGCTCCACTGTGATTTGGCTTTCTTTTACTTTCAACATGTACAGCTGGGCTCTCATTGACATTCCTGATCTTGATGACCCGCTCTTCGCAGATGAACATTCATCTTGATCCTTTGTCTTCTTTTGGTTGACATCCTCTCCTTGGGCTGGTGTCAGAGATTCAATTGTTGCTCTCATGACCTCCAACTCCATCAGTTTCTGCTCATACGTTGTCCTGTGCTCATCATAATCTCCTCCCAGAAGAGTACACAGGTCACCATCTGTCTGTTTCAGTCTAATGTAAGTGTGCTGCCATCTGGAGATCTTTGCAACTGTTTGCTGCATCCTGTCTTCATCATCTTCAGATGTCAGATCATCCAGAAGCATCTTTCCGTCTTTCTCCAGCTTGATCAGCATTTGTCTGAACATTTTCAGCTTCAACTCCTTTTGGTACTGGTAACCCTTCTCAGTCATTTTCAGTGCCTGGGCGGGCCTTGTGACAACACGCTCTTGATCATCAGTCGGATCCATGGTGTGCAGGTAATTGGAATGACGAGGTAGGTAGGATTCAACAAAATTCTGTTCTAAATCTACACTAGGTACCAGTTCATGTTAGTCATGTGCCACAGTTAGTGCCAACTACAACATAATAAAACAGGATCAATCATGGGTAGGTACACTGTTAGTTAAAAACACACCTCAAAATTCAAGCAAATAACTACACTGGAGGGAAACCCTGGTACGGCTTTGTCACATTGGGCCAGAGAGGAATTCATTGTGCCATAACTGGAGAGATTATTACTGTTACGGCAGGCAAAAGATTCGTTTGATAGGAATTATCTATTGTCGCCTCTTTGATGTACATAATAACTGAAAAATACACATAAATAACAATCAGTCCATAAAAACGATAATTGATACAAATATGACGCTCATTCATATAAAGCATGGATTATCACAGCCAAAATCATGAGAAATAAAGCAAATAAATGGTTAAATCAGTAACGTAACAAGTCAGTAACATATTGGCAGATCATTTGGATAATAACATAATCATAAATATCATCTATTCTGTCACCTACTCTCTCCTTCCTTTGGCATAGCCCACGTGTCAGATATCTCAGCGCCGTATCACTGGCCACGACGCGCAGTGCGCCACGCAAACAAATCAAGGGCCGCGTTCGCCGCGCTATTCCTGGGGAAACCCGCAAGCAAATTGTAATGCGGGAACACACACCCCTCCCATCTATCGCTGACACCCTGCTCGGTAACTCGTCTCGAGACGCGACTGAGCCAGGCCCTTCGACCGGTTACCGCCGCCGGCATAATTCCGCCTGATTCCGACTGCACCGCTGGACACCACACTGCGGCGAGCGACCCCGCTGGGGCATTCCACGATAGATCGTACCAGGCCCGTCACCCTCATCTCTCAGATTTGAATGAAAATCGGTACTAGGGGTAATCATAGGCTCCAAAAACACCTGTCAAAATTTCAGACTTCTCAGATGAAAACTTTTTGAGCTACATTGCATAACATTTTCTAAACTTCAGATTGTAAAGGTGAGTTTGATTAGCTATAACTCAAAAACGAGCTAAGCAAGCAACAAACGGTAAACAGCTTTGAACTAACGGTGAATTAAAGATTAATACAGCTTTTTTAAAATTGGAAAGAAAAGCTTTACATTTTGAAAAAAGTCGTAATATATTTTTAAAATGTCTATAACGGCCCTTGGGACCAAAATTTTTGCCATTTTTATTTCTCCAAAACAAAGTTCGGGTCATTTAAAATCGACATGCAAAAAATTAGAAAGGTGTTCTTTCTATAACTTTCTCATTTTAATGCATACAAAATGGGTTTTCTGGGGGTCGGTACGACCCCAGCTCGCCGTTTTGCCTCTAATGGAGCTAGAACCTTGCGGAAAAAACGAGCATGTGCGCCGTTACAAGATGCACCGAATGATACCACATTTTAAGGTCTCGGGTTCATTGGTGGACCCTGAGGTCACTTCAAGTGACCCAAATTACAGGTCCGGTTTTTGGTAGATAACTTCGCAACAAATGGTCGCAGAGTCCCAATTTTAGCATCTTTGTGTTTGCCTAGCACCGGCGCGTCGAATGGTATACTGTTTGTTCTGGTGAGGTCAGCTTAAGTTGCTGACCTCGGGTCAGCACACTGCCGTGTATTTGGCTCCGCTCCCCGACCGGGCGGCCCAGCCGGCAGCCAGCCGCCGGGCATCACGTGACCGCCCCGAGTCCGCGGCAAAGCCAACCAGCGCGGCGCTGGACAAACAGCACCGCCACAGAGATGGTTAACAGTCGGGTCAGGCCACGAAGCTGGGTGAATGAGATCATATTGCACATCATTCGATTCGCAAGGTCTTCCTGAACCATTGGTAGCTTTCCCATCTCTCTAGCTCAATTTGATCGAGAGTTATTGACGAAAAACTCTTATGACCCGAGTGACGTACGAATGACGTCACGCAAGGTCAACAATGCAAACCTGAGGCAAAAATGACTTCAATTGGACTTTCAGTAACCAGTGATGTCACTAGGCAGCTTTACCACGCCATTTGTAGGCTCTCTTCCCGAAATCACAATCCGAGACCATTACGGTGACGCAAAATTAGTACATTTATAGAAAGAACACCTTCCTAATTTTTTGCATACTACTTAATAATGATCCAAAAATGTTTTTAAGTAAATAAAAATTCAAAAAAATTTGGTCCCCAAAGGCATAAAAATGCAAATGAAAGGAAACTCGATGTGTTATATATCAAAAATAGTTTATATTTCAAAATTTTAAAAATGCATATTATTCTTTGTTTCAATGCAAGTTCAATGCCGTATAACATTTGGCATTTGGATTATCCGTCTTAGAGTTACAGCCCGCCAAACTTGGCGCTGCAACGAAAGATCCAAAACATGTTATACATTATAACTCAAAAACTACTCATCGGATCAGCCTGAAATTGTCACAGGAGGATTCAGGGCCCCTGGTTACCCCTTAGACTAATTATCGTTAAAATCCGAGAGATGAGGGTGTCAAATTGGAAAAAAGTGGTACGATCTATCGTGGAATGCCCCCGCTGTCAGACTCGGGCCGAACGCACCCCCTCCCCTACCCCCACTCCAGCTGTGGCGAGGGTGAGGGTATTCACCGCATCAAACCTACAGGCCGCCTGGACCCTTATCTTGAGACCAATAGTACACAGAGCTCCCTCTCGTTTTTCTGCAATATCTTCTGAACACCTCCTAGACGTACCAACACGAAATCTTCAGTACCTTCAGTCGCATCGATTTGCCACCTTGTGTTCAAATAACAACGTCGTAACTTCCGTAGGTCGGCCGGAAATGACATCACAGTGACGTCATGTTCGTCCGAATTTGATGCAAAACAATGAACTACAGCAATCGCTTTCAAGAACTCAGTTTGTAAGCTAGATCCAATTTCTTTGCATGAGAGGAGTCAGAATAAACAGGGATATTAACCCGCGCCCGGCTGGGGGTCCTGGATTTCCACGCCCTGCTGGGGGGGGGGGGTGTTTGAACACCCCCCTTCTAACTCGGCTCCTGGGCCACGTAGCGATACGCGGAAGGCGGCGTTCGAAAGAGCGTCAAAAATAATGACAAAATTACCTCAGTCAATTTTTTGATCAGGTCAAAGGTCAGGTCACCAGAGGTCATTGAAGGCAAAATTTCGCCGATTTCAAGGTCGAATGTCGAAAATTTCCAAGAAGCCAACGCATAACTCGGGAAACTAGAGCTACAGCGCCGCGGAAAAGCGCATTCGATAGCCCTATTAACGCCCTTTCTGAGTAATTCTCTCAGATTTGACCTAACGTCAACGGTTTTGCCTGCAGGGGGCAAAAACTGCAAAAATAGCCGATTTTTTCGGAAAGTTTTTCTGCAATAACTTTTGACCCAAGCCTTGGACGAGCTTACTTTCAGCGGCATCGTGTTCCTCTTGTCAAGACGCATCGAATGAACTATAACTTGACCTTGAAAGATCAACTTGAAAATTTGACCTCAGGTCAAGGTCATGACCTGACCGGAAAGGGTCATGTTGCATATCAGTCGATCCGTATCGTCGAGCTGAACACATCTAATGCGTTTTCATCGCTCTAGCATGCCTCTATCAAAAGTTATTTGCGAAAAACTGTTAGAAACCATTCGTAACCTTACATGACCTCAGGGCATAAACAAGGGTCACGGACACCATTTTCATGTTCAGTGTGTCTAAACCACTTGTAATTCGGTGTTTGGGAGTGTATATAATGTCTTTCGTCCAAAAGAGACGCATTTCAATTTTCTCCCATTGACTTATAATGGGGAGGTCGCAAAATTGACCTGACCTTAGGTCATCGATATCAAAATTCTGAGATATACATTTTGTACATGCTATTGCTCTTAGCAATCGCTGAAAGTTTCAAAGCGATCGGTCACTCGGCGTAGCTATGACAGACATTGAAACTTTTTAGGAGGTGAGGTCACTTCAAGTGACCTGGTGACCTGACCTTGAATGACCATGGTCTGAAATTTTCACAACATGTGTAGAATTGATGTATGATAAGGTGTACCAAAAACAGCGGCGCGGAGGCCGTTTTTGAGATATTCGCGAAAAACCACAAGGGGGGGGGGTGTTCAAACACCCTCCCCCCCCCAGCAGGGCGCGGGTCATGTGCCAGAGTTGGGGTGCTGCTGCACGTGCGCACGTGCAGGGGTCGATTCCAGATCTCGAGAACGGCTGGACCGATTGCGCTCAAATTTGGTACACGGTTACGGAGCAGTTAGTAGGGTGCCGTGCATAAGTCATTTGGGACCCATTTTGCACGTGCGCACGTGCAGGGTGCCGCTTCCAGATCTCGAGAACGGCTGAGCCGATTGTGCTCAAATTTGGCACATCGCTAGAGACCGGTTAGTAGGGCGCCGTGCACAAGTCAGTTGGAGGTACCCCCTCGCAATTTCGCACGTGCAAGGCCCACCCTCTCGCTCGCTCCGTTAATCGCCCCAAAAGGCGTTATACTGGTAAAATAGGTTTGATTTTTATATACCTACAAAATCTTTTAAAAAATATACACATTTTAAAAACCGGGTCTCCCAGAAAAAGTACCGCATTGAAATTAGAAGTACAAAGAAAAATATGCGCGCGACATGTAAAATTTTAATGTTAATCGAAAGCAAGGTTCATGGAAATTATGTTGTATGGCACGAGCGCTGTCAGCTATGAAGCCGCTTAATATTGAACAAAAAACAAAAATAGTCTAATTTTATCTCAAACACGGATCAGCCGTTTTAACACAAAGGCAGTATCGCAGACATTTTAAGGTTCGAGAAACTCCAACGAAAAAGACCATACAGCGTCTGACTAAGACGTTTTTGGCAGAAGGGTCCATTAGTAACCAGAATGCCGGAAACAGAGGTCAGAAAAAACATCTCGCAGCCAGGAGGCCATACGGAAGGTCGCAGAGCAGGTCGGTCAGACGCCAAAAGTGTCGGTGCGGCGCCTCGCGTCTAGGGTAGGTCTCAGCAAGTCTTCCACTCACAGGATTCTCAAGAATGATCTCGCCTTATCTGCCTTTAAGCTTTATGTGTCTCAAAAGCTGTTTGCTGCGGATTTTGAGCAGAGGGAACAATTTTGCAAATAGTTTTTGAAAAAGTGCACAAACAACCCAAAGTTCTTGTCTTGTGTTTGGTAGTCCGATGAGGCCCATTTTCATCTGAACGGGCAAGTGAACCGCCAAAATTACAGGTTTTGGGCGGGACGGCCACCAGAAGAAGTACTCGAGGCCCCGCTGCATTCCCCAAAGGCGAGTGTGTGATGCGCGTTGAGCGCGCAGAATCATTGGCCCATTCTTTTTTGAAAATGGTGCTGGCGAGACGGTCACCGTCAATTCCCGACGCTACCTTTCCATACTCAGCCGCTCTTTGCGGTCCCCCGCAGCGAGGTG